TATCACTCCATTACAACCTTTGATAATAATAGCTTGAAATGGAGCGTTTTATTTTTGTTTTTCACTCAATATTCAGTACTTGCTTTGTGACCTAATAATTCAAATTCGCACCAAAAAATTCCACTTCATGCGTTAAATACTCCCTATCAACGACAACTTCATTCCTAGGGCTCGTTAAGTGATTTAGCAAAAAAAGTGATATAGTGAAAGAAGTCTATGTACAAACACATTATAACTTATGCATCTATTGATTGATGATATAAACACCAAATGCGGGTAAGTTTTGACCATCAAGGCAATTGGTCCTTTATTTCTTGTGTGTTCACTCATGATATAACATGATAAAACTTACAAGCAAATCGTGTAGGCTTCATAAAATCTACAACTTCAGCTATAGACCTTTAACCTCGACATAATTCAAGAGAATGACAAGCCAAATTGCCAGTAAAAACCCATACTCACAACAAAACAACAATATACCAATGAAATCCTACGAGCAGAGTTTGAAGAGGATAGAGCGTACGCAGATTTTATTCAAAGGCAGATTTAATAATGCTTAAGGGGTGTGTCACGTGACACGACTTCGTCAGAAAAACTTGATAAATATATATATATATATATATATATATATATATATATATATAAAAGATTGATTTCATGATACATTTCTTTCACTTAATTCTTCTTGGGTTCATAAATCATGATGGAGAAAATTACATGGGCTCTTTTGCTTTAAGCATAGTTTGGACCCAAATCAAGGCCTTCCATGGTAGTTTTGGGCTTTGTCAGCTATCAAATTTTCTTTTTTCTTTTTCCTTTTCTCCGTTTTTATATTTCGAATTTATATTTTAAGTATTGAATGTAGCATATGGGTAAGTATAATTTTTTAAATATTGTTTCTTAAAAGACATGAACAATGTCATATCATTTAAAGAGCGTTGTTTTGTTGGTGTAAGCTCAACAAATTAGCTTACGAGACTTGATGATTTTTAAGGACAAATATGGAGATAACAAGGAGTGTAATTCGATGTTGCAAGCAAAGCTAAGAAACAAGTAACAGGGAAAAATATATAAAATGTGCAAACAAAATTTCATATTGAAAATTGATAAGAAAAGAAGTTTTTATACATATAATACACGATAAGTATACTCTAAATTTGTTAGTCCTTTTTGAGAAAATCATACATATGGAATTAATCTGAAGAGGATGATAAATATCTTCAATAGTATGATATCTTTTTTTAAAAATCGTTTATATAACAAGTGGATCAATCTGAAGAGGATGATAAATACGTAGCTTTATTTCTACCTTTTGAAGGATGAGAATCTTTAGACTGACGTAATCCGACAAATATATCATCGAAAGTCCACTTTTTTTTCTTTTTGTTAATTCCACGATAGATATGTATTGTTAGAGAATAAAAATTGATACTTTGATTCAAAGAGAAATTAAAGCAAAAGTCCAAGTTGGACACTTTTTAAAAGACAACTTTAGGCGTTTTCTTTTTAATATATATGTTTTGATATTTTTGTGTCTCAAGGCAATGCATGATAAAATTAAAGCATAACTTGTTTACTTGGACAAAAATACACGTAGATTTGCCACTCATATCTTATCATAAATAACATATTCCTAGTCATATACATACGGCAAAAATTTAAGATACTATGTATCTTCTTCAAAAAAGAAAAAAATATGAAGAAAAAGATAGATTTTCTTACAAGAAAAGCAAAGAAAAAAAAACTAGAAAATGTGAAATATTTGATAGGATCCGATTCAGAAACGTGGAATGTATGTAAGAAAAATTTAAATATGAAACAATGTGCGTTTACTTGAAATATCCTTTAATTATGAAAAAAATATAATTTTTGATACACATATTTCTTCCCCGCGGCCATATAAATAATATTTATATTTCACCCTACCAAAATATAAAAATTATCAACAAACAATTTATATCGCTAAATAACACATAATTGTTGCTACTATTATTTACTAGTGACGGATTATAGAAATATCTTATTAGCTACACGGACTATTTAACGATAGATTAACGATGAATTCTATAGCTAATTAAGATTTTTATTTTATTTTATAATGAGATCAATTGTAATGCTTACAATATAGGAAAAGTTTGCTTTTTTACTATTTAGGTATGTAACAAGGCTACATGTGTGTTTGTCTTGTAAACTATACTTGATGACAAGGATCCATATTATCCTACTCATCTTTGTTGCATTCTTTTGACTTGAGAAACTACTAAAAAGTTGTTTATATAGAAAGTGATCATGGGGCATCCAAAAAAGCACAAGTAACATGATGAGATAGAATATATATAACTTTATAATAATTTGTAATAAATTAAGTTTATCGAGGATCTTTCAGAAATAATTTTTTGGCTAGGTATAATAATAAAATTAGTCATTTTCATTGTGATAGTTACTCCAACTTACAAAAATAATCATCTAGACATTTCTAAAACTTATATTTCACATCAACATTATATATCCACGAGACAGTGAGGAGAATTGAAGTGTTTAGTTTTCAGTTGAAATTACGTTAAAGTATACATCTAAATATGCACTATCTGCCTACTTATCAGCTAAGACCAAATTTAAATATTTGTTGGTGCATTATGCCAACTTTTTATGTTGTTTCCTTTGTAGTACATTCTAAAGAGAAAATACATAAGTTGCTCCTTAAAGTTATACACAAAAAAAGTCAAATACACGTTTTAATTTTACGGGCAACTTATCACCTCTTATTCTTATTCAAAATGAAATTTATTATTTTCACATTTGAATATGAAGATATATTAGCCATCATAACATTCATAAACGAGATTGATAGATGAATAGAGGAGTCCAGCCACAATCATTATTGATTTGCCTGGGAGGAGTTCAACCGCTCGAACTCAGAGAGATGAGCCTAATAGTGCCCCAAGCCAAAATAGAGAGCGGATCAATAATTTTGTAAGTAGTGAAGAAGTGATGCTACAATTATTTTGTTATTAAAAAAAAAAAACTTTATGGCATCTAATAAATATATTATTCTGATGTTATTCGAAGCATATTTTAAGCTTTCAATTGGGTATCTGGCTTGTAGTCCTTCCCCCCAATTTCTTCCACAAAAAGAGAACAAAGTTGGGTATCTCAAAATTGTAGACCTTTTTTTCTTTTGTTTTTTCGGCTTCGTATTTGTATTGAAATTCGGTTAATTTGAATTCACATTATATGGTCCATTTCTGGCCAGCGCTTCCAACATGATTTTTTGTCATTCTCAGATCTCGAACCCAATATCTCTGATTAAGAGTACTAGAGGGATTCAAACCATCCCATCATAACTTATGTTATTATCGAGACCTTGAACTATGCAATTATTTTTTAAATGATATGATAATGTAAAAAATTAGTCAATGTATTACATAGAGTTAATTTTTCATGAAATATAATTTTAACTAATTGTCCACCCTTTTAGACATTTTGTGAAAAGGTTCTTGTCCAGATTCAGAGATGTTAACCTCCATAATCTTTCTCTATTTCAGCAAAGAATCTCAACTCCAAAAGTAGAGCCAAAAGCACCTTTTCAACCTTTAACAACTAATTAATACATCCACAAAACTCGAATTGGTGAGATGGATAAAATTTTGTTACGCTTGATCATAAGTCTCATATTCAAATCTTGGAACAGAAAAACTTGTATCTTCCTTTACTAGTCCTAAATAAGAAGTGAAATTTGATGGATACAAAATGCATAAAAAGTGTCTCACGTTCACACGTAGGGTTAAAGGAACAATTGCATCCCAAACATGTGTGATATAGACGGTCTATCTTGATACAATTGTAAATATAAGTTAATTCAGTAGCTGAGTTTACGACTTGTACCGTTATTCCAACTCCTATTTTCTCGTATACTAATGGATAAAGGGAATAAAATAAGCAAGGAGATGTTTGTACATTTTGTATTAGCCGCTTTCTTGGATAAAAATCTAAACTTTTCTTTATGAAATTAATTACTCCTAGAATAATTAAGATGCAAGAAAAGGAATGTAAGAGACTGAGGAAAACTGCAATTTGCAAAGGAGAGCAAAAATAATTAAAAAAAAGTAAAAAATATATCTAAAATATTTTGATTTTTCACATTTTATACCTAAACTATCATATATATGCGAGTTTTTCTATCTAAACTATCATTAAGTATTAATAGAACACACCTTGTCCTCAACTATCAATAGTTCTTTTTCTGCATTGAACAATGATAATATTTCAGATAGGAACAACTGATATTGATGTGTGTTTTAATAAATAGTTTTAAAAAAAAACTCACACATTTGATAATTCAGGTATAAAACTCAAAAAATCAGAATTCTTAAAATATGTTTGTGATCTTTAACGCAAACATTTAAAAACGAAAAAAAAAACAGAGTCATTTGATATGCGAAACGAAATAAATAAGAATATCTCATGTTTTAGGATAATTCAAGATGATTATTTTATCGATCCCACCTTATATATGAATAGTAATCCCACCATTTTACTACAAACAGATTAAATAATCTTGAAATCAATTAATACCTCAACCCAAACATAAAATAAAATTAACCTCAAATTTTATTCTGAAATTATTATTCTTTATCTCACGTACCAAACCATCCAGAGTCTCTATCTTCTATTCCTTTTCAAACTTCCTTTTCTAGCCACAAAATCCTTTTCAATGGGAATATTTTTTTGGGGGGCTATTATCAACATCACAGCCACCATTCCAAAATTTCTTTCTTCTTCATCAAATATACTAGCAAAAAATATACCCCTATTAAATCCAAGACCCCTAGTACAAAACATTTTTTTTTAAAATTAATAATTTGTCAACTTTATTACATCTATTATATAGTATATAATAGACATTACAATTTTCTCAAGTTTCCTAAGAGAGAATTCAACAAGAAGGAATCATTAGTAGTACAAAATTTCAAGAATACAACTTCATCAATTATTCAACAATGTTTTCTAATACTTTCATTCTCTCTTTTTCATTCTTCTTAATCTTGTCATTTTCTTCACTAATTATAGCTACTTTCAATAATCTTACACTTCCTCATCAACATCCTTTTCCTGAATCTATTGTTCAACAAGTAAACAGGTGAAATTACCTCAAAATAATTTATCATTCTTGATCTTTCTCAACTAAGTTTTGATTATTTCTGCATTTTATCAACTGGGTATCTCTGTTTATGCACATTACATTAAGGGAAAAAAAAAAAGCAATCTTGGTTTTGCTCATTTCTACATAGAGTAATAAAGGCGGAATCGAAATTTTTAGTTTATGAGTTCTGAAATATGATTCTTTTTTGCTTACTAGTTTCCGAATAGATTATTTATAGGTAATAACACAAAATAAAGGATTTGGACCTAAGTTACTGAGTTCTATCGAGTCCATAGTACTATATCTTATATATATTTTTCCATATTTGTACAGGAGGATCAATGAATCCATATCAAGAAGGCAAATATTTGATACAACAGTAATAAATTACCAATGTCTAACGGGCAATCCGATCGACGACTGTTGGAGGTGCGACCCGAATTGGGTCAACAACCGCCAGCAGCTCGCGGATTGCGCCATTGGGTTTGGTCACGGTGCAGTCGGAGGGAAAGGTGGCCGGTACTACTTGGTTAGCGATCCCTCCGACTTTGACACCGTGAATCCTACCCCTGGAACCCTCCGGCACGCAGTGATCCAGGAGGAGCCCCTCTGGATCACCTTTGCCGGAGACATGATCATAAGGCTCAAACACGAGCTTATGATCAACAATTACAAGACCATAGACGGACGTGGCGTGAACGTCCACGTCACGGGTGGTGGATGTATAACATTACAATATGTTACAAATGTGATTATACATAATATACATATATACAATTGTGTACCATCAGGTAATAGTAACATAAGACAAAGTACAACACAAGTTGGATGGAGAGGAATGTCTGATGGTGATGGAATATCAATTTATAGTTCAAGAAATATTTGGATTGATCATTGTGCTTTGTCTCATTGTACTGATGGCTTAATTGATGCTATCATGGGATCAACTGCTATTACTATATCTAATAGTTATTTCACTCACCATGACAAAGTTATGCTTTTGGGACACGACGATCGATACGTACCCGATGTTGGTATGCAGGTTAGATTTTGTATTCGTAAAGAGTTGATACACACCTATCAACAGTTTTGAAGAGTTCGAGTAACATGTTTGATTTGTGAATTTATTAGGTGACAATAGCATTTAATCATTTTGGAGAAGGATTAGTACAAAGAATGCCAAGGTGTAGAAGAGGTTATATACATGTAGTAAACAATGATTTTACAGAATGGCAAATGTATGCAATTGGTGGAAGTGCTAATCCCACAATTAATAGCCAAGGCAATCGTTTTACTGCACCAACAGATCCAAATGCCAAAGAGGTAATTCTCATAGATAATCGTCGTGTCTGAACCAGCTTGAGTTGAATGTGCCTTGACTAGTCTATCGTATCGTATAATTTTGCTCATCAATCAAGACTTGGGCAGATAAAAAGTTTTGAAGGGATTGAAGTTCAATTAAAAATCCTTTTGTTGTAAAATTATACTATGCAAATGGAGGGAGGGGAAATGAGTTTTTCTTGTTATATGTTACATGTTGAATCTCCTTGACGTGAGAAAAAATTCTTTAAATTTGAACGATAAGGTCATTGAAAATCGAGTTTGTACTCACAGGTGACGAAGCGTGTGGACGTGGACGAGAGGGATTGGACAGAGTGGAACTGGAGGACAGAAGGGGATGAAATGGTAAATGGAGCATATTTTGTTCCTTCAGGTGATGGAATTAGCAACCAATATGCCTTGGCATCAAGCATGGAGCCTAAATCTGCATTTCTCATTGATCAACTCACCATGAATGCTGGTGTTATTAGTGTCCCCAGGTAACCCCCCCCCCCCCCCCCCAAACCAAACACTTTTTTATAATCGAGAAATCTTCGAGGGTTAGTGGTCACACGGTTAGAAACTCGATGAATAATCAAACTATTTCTGCATTTTCATTTCCCAACTCCTAGTTGGAGAAAATGAACATGAAACAAGGTGTTGTTTATGACATATAGTGCTCGATCGGTTTATAATAAGTCCGGCTCTCTACCTTCTCCACTTAAAGACCAAGCTTGTCTACAACGAGGTTCCAACTCGTGACAAACATATGATGTGTGGGTTAGGCACATGCCAGGGGTTCAAATCCTGCCACTGACAAAAGTCTGGTATTTAAGTGGAGAATGGTAGAGGGTCGGCCCCATTATCTACAGAGTTTCATACCGTGCACCACTAGCCCTCGGGGAGCAAGACCCTCTCCCCCTTGCAAAAAAAATCAAATTAATTCTACTCTCCTGCTAGCATAACAATGCCATCTATATAGACTGATATCAGATCTAGTCATTTGATAAATGCCAGTATAAAATGGTAAAAAAAGTCTTCTGTTAAACAACAGGGATACCACTGTGGCCATGTCATTTGGTGGGAGAACCAGAACAACCATTACCGCCAACCAGAGCAGCAGTGTTAGACCTTCAAGGTCTAACGATGGTGATGGCGGTTTCTTAGAAAAGGTATTTGGGAGCGTTGCATCAGCAGGATCATCAACATCATCACCTTCAAGTTCAACCACCAACATCTTGTTTTCTCTTCTAATTTTGTATATAATCACCAACAATGTTGGGCTATTAACATTACCATTATCACTCATACTACAGTAATCTAAGAAAGATTATTATAACAAAGAATGTACTAAAAGAAAATTTTCTACTTAACAGTATCAGTATCAAGGATTCCCACTTCTTGTACATAGTTAATTGATAGTAACATCAAGAGGGGTTATACCCTTTAGAAATTGTACATATCATATTTGTTGCAGCAAAGGTTTCTTGGTTTCCTAAAACGACACTTATTTTTGGACGGGAGGGAGTATTACCACCTTGCAGACTCACATGTCTACCAAACGCTTAAACCTCAAACTTATGATCATTGCAACATTAGTTCCTCGAAGATCAATCAAATCGAAGGCAAACTATTGGGGCTAAAAATGCTTAGAACTTTTCTAGTGCTATCACATCTTTCCTTGGATAGTTAAATGGTTTGTTAATACTTAATAGTTCATGATTCTCTCAACTAAATGAGGCCAAACATAACCAAGAAGATCTCAAAGGTTTCCATGTGTAGTCAGAAACCGATACTCTAAGCAGTTATTGTTATGAATAACTCGTATCGTGCTATAGTTGGAACGCTCCCTTGTTCACAGTTCCACTCTTTAACCTCTCTCTCTTCAACTCCCAGTCCCTCTTTCCCTTTCCCCACCAAGAAAAAAGTGAAGAAACGATAATTCTTATATATAGACGCTATGAGTGTTATGAAAGGTGAAGAACACAAAAAACTCTTAAGTTCGTTGGGGCTTTAAGTGCAAAGCACAAATAATGTGTGAGGTTAACAAAGAAAGGTGCAAATAAAGAAAAAGTATAAATATGTATATGGAGTCCTAGACTAATAATTATAAGAATAAATAACAAATCTAGGACAAAGAAAGTGAAAAAATTCAACGATGAAGTGTTTGCATTAAATTGAAATATCAATTGTTTAGTGTAGCCTCTTCAGAATTATGATCATTGGCAAGGAAACATATGCCTTAGACCCTTGATAACGATACTGAAGCGCTCAACATGTTTTGCGCCTTGCTTCAAGGCTCCTTTGACAACACTGAACACTATTTCCCAAGTCCCAACAGCAATACATACACATTTACTTTTCTCCTTTAATTGTTTTTGGGAGGCAGAGTTGCTGGAATAGGGGTCGGGGGTCAGAGAACAAGTAGAAACCTTGAAGATATTGTTTGCCATAAAGAACTTTCAGGAAGTTGCTACAAATAAATTGCTTGGGGCAACAGAAGAAGAGAAAAAAATTGATCAACAAGCATATCATCACTATTGAAAAACATTTCAGACAAAAATACGGGCAACAAAGAAACGATGGACTAATATATTTCTGTATCCCATTTTCCTTTTCCTAGAGGAAGGTAGTGGGAGGGTAGAGGTGGGGGTGGGGTGATCACAAAGACCAGAAATTTGATTATTTGTTAGTCCTAAAATGATAAAGAATAATCGTCTTAGAATAGCTAAAATAAACAAAACTTTCACAGCATGTCTGTCAAGGAAAGATAACACAATGCCCATACCTTCAGCCTGCCTCGCTCAAATTATGGAAAAGCAGCAGGAAGCACGGAAAAAACTTTGGAGCGATTCATCTTCAGTTTGCAAAGTCAAAAACCATCATTAGGTAGTTTGAGATGTTCTACGCAGAGGAGTACTGCTTGTGCGGGGCTCAGCTGGACTCGATATGCTGTTGCAACATGTTCTACCTGACCATTGAAGCAGCTTCTTCCAATTTTTTCCAAGCTCGCTCACGCTGCTCCACAAGGCCGCTGGCACCAGCTGCCTTTTCATTGTATTCCTTTTCACACTCCTCAAAAAGTTCTGAATCCATCTCCAAGAACATTCTCCGGACATTAGAGGTCAACCCGTGGACTGCCTGATTCCAGTGACCATACATATTCCTTTCTAATGGCTCAAAGATGATTGGCAAAATTGCACGTCGATTCTGCGCGATCAAGTCTACTATATGCTCATTGTTCCATAAGAACAGAGCTCGCTCAGCAACCTGCCATGCACAAAATCTTTGGATCATGGTCTCATTTTCATGCAACCTTCTGAATCAAACGACACAAGAAACATTTGGAGAAACAGACTATTACAGACCAATATGAGACGCCATACAAATAAATAATGATATCATGCATTTCAAATACAGCAACTATTTTCAGATAATAGGACATCTCCCAATGGTCTTCAGCAAGTACCCTGTAGAAGCCTACCATTTTGATTACATCTAAAACTGCCATATGTGAGCATATGTTGGGTGGTTAAATGGTCAGCTAATACGATCCCGATCACATGGCATAAAATACAAAAGAAATAGGAACTCGCATATCATTTCAGAATAACATGTCACACACTGCATGCACTGTATGTAGCTTGACTATCCATAAGCTCAAGCTAAGAAAATGGTTGCAGTACTCATGACTGGATGAAGTATCAATATGCTGAAGTACGGCCTAAAAATCAGAGTAAGTAGCAGCAGTATATTCTACATGCTAGAATCTCAATGTTACAATAACAGAACGCTGCATAACATCGCCATCCAGGCATTCAAGAAATGCATTAAAATTATTCTCTTCATTTCACATTATTTTGTTGTTAATGCTCTTATTTCTGTATTCCCTTCTTCAAACTGCTTGGACATGCTTTATTTTATGCCGAGGGTCTATTGGAAACAACCTCTCTATCTCTACGAGGTAGGGGTCAGGTACGTGTACATTCTACCTTCCCCACACCCCACTTGTGGGATTACACTGGGATATTGTTGTTGTAAGCTCCATATAGCTGTCATGTAGATAACATGAAACAACAAATGTACCAGAAACAGTAATGACGTGTTCCTGTTCATCAAGCTTGGCATATTTGAATCATTTTTTACAGTACCACCTTTAAGTTTTAACAACTCAATCATCGTACATACAATGGACAAGACTGAGAATTCTTAGAAAGTGTGAATAAGGGACTAACTTTTGACTAGTGAACTGGTTCATTTTAGGATATCTAATTCATCCATAGAAACCTGAGAAGCATGGACACTCCAAGGAGGCAAGACAAAAAAGACGTAAAACGGCAACTGATACATATCCCAATAAACTTAGACCTTCTCTATCTGCCCTTATTCTAAGCCATTGCTAGAATGTTGCACAGACTGCTCGTCTGCTGAGTGCTTGAATTTCAGTTTCTCACAGTGCATTAAGTGCTCAAAAGTAAAAGCACTCAAACATCAACATATGGATATAGGAAATTGCTTAAGAAAAGTGAAGTCTCACCATCATATATCCATCAAATCTTATGTTTGTCAACTTTACAATCAAAAGGAAGATAGAAGTGCTTAACTAGCTTAACTAAGCATGGCCAACCCAATAAGTCGGGAGTACAAGAACAACAACATACGTAGTGCAATTCTACAAGTGGGGTCTGAGGAGGGTAGGATGTACATAGATCTTACCCCTACCTTTGCAGGGTAGGGAGGTTGTTTCCGATAGACCCTCGTCTCAAAAGAAGAGAAGAATTTGAAGCAGGGTTGCAAAGAAATAAGACGACATAGTAAAGGATAAAAAACAAATGAAGCAATAAACAGTAATAAACACACGGTGATTACTAAATAATACTACTAATAAGGAGAAGCGGAGAGGAGGCTAGCCCCTGCCTTTCCCAAAAGCAGTCCGACAACACTCGGCTAAGTACTAACTTTCTACCCTTATCCTCGACCTCCATTAAGTCAAGAGTAAAATGTATAATCCTTTGACTTATCTCATCATAAGAATAGGTATGTCTACACTGCACAATAAAATTATTCAGCCTCTCAAATTGAAGCACCTGGATTATCCACAATGCTTTGTTGTCTGTGTCAAGCATAACATATTAAAAGTAAATCCTATGTTTAACCTTCGAGGAAATGTGCCACAAAGGGAAGTGTCCTTAGATCATAACACCATAGAAAGAGCAGTATGTCACAGTTTATTCAAAGACTGAAGTTCTGTAAAAGTGCTGCTGGCTCGTATGGAAAATCACGGTTCTATTATGTTATGGTGATAGTAGCTATGAACGTGATTATTCCAAAAGAACCGTGATTGAAAGGTTATATTTCAAGGAAAAACTTCTTTACATATTACTTCAAAGGGAAACAAAATCAGTCAAATTGTCGATTTCTCACCTTCAATCATCTAGTCATTAGTTTGATGCATAGCAATTGATGTAGTTTTTTTTTAATAATATTGGATAGGTAAAACTTTGACGGAAGTTTTCACCATCAATTTAGGTTAAAGAAATCGCATTTGAGAAACTAGAAGAGAAGACAAGTTGGAGCCTTCAATTACAAATCCAGCCGTGTCGGCTGCCACAAAATTTTAGTCCCTTTGAGCATTAATTGCCTAGCCAACTAGTTAAGATATCCCCTAAAAGTCATCTCATAAATTGATGCACATTAACTCATGCATCAATCAGCATTCAAACTTCAAACTTAACCTTCTGCATTGAAACCCCAGCACCAGTCTGAGGCAGTGTTTAAGAAGAGCAAAAAAGCTTTTGATTTAGAGAAAACAAAATTTTCCCTGTCATCAAACTGGAAATATAGTCCCCCTTAGTCTTTTTGCAAAAAATAGTGCCTATCACATTGTCCGAACTTCGGTTATTGCAAATTAAGCTCCATACTAGCAGGCTGACGTGCAATAACTTTAGAATCTTTTCTTTTGAATTGTCCTTGCCCCACACCACGCAAAGCGAAGCCCGGTATTTAAGTGGAGAAGGGTAGAGGGGCAGGCTCATTATCCACCGAGTTTAGAAGGCTGTGATTGGTCCAAAGGGCGGGTCAAAGACGGATTTCTCGGTTATCAAAAAAATAAAAAATAAAAAATAAAAAAATAAAAAATAAATAAAAAATAAAATAAAATATATATATATATATATATATATTTCTAAATCCTATGTCCATCAAGCTACAATACTGTTTTTAGAAGTTACCAGCCAACCAGCAAAGGGAGTAAAGAAAGCCGTATGCAATCAATAAGCACCAAATTAATCCTTGTGCCAGCAAGAGATAACTCATTTATATGGACATTTTTCGTTACACTAACTACCTAATCAAGACACAGACAACAACATCAAGCACACTCATGTAAAAGTGCACTCGCCTACCCACACATTCCATATTCATTTTCTATTAATTTTTCCCAAAGCTGCACGCTGAGGGGCACTAGGGCATGAATGAGAATTGGTGTTATGATGCTAGAAACTAAAACCATACACAAGTCAAAATTAGATTTAAGATTAATTGGTTCAATTAATTGCTTGATTTCAGAAACTAAAAGAAAATTATGCATCTTCAAAGCAGAGGACTTCCAACCTACTAACTGTATTCCATACATGAAGAACATAAGAATGAGATGCTCAAAGCTCTCAGGTAAATTACTTCAAGCAGTGAACATGTGGATTCAGTTTCCCTTTATTTCTTACAATTAAGAACAAGATTTTGATAATTCTTCAATGTCATGATCCTTTTCTCAAGATTAAAAATAAAATAAAAAGGTTACAGCTTGTTTCAGTATTGTGCCATTCGTCAACACATTTGACTAATCTGAAATCAAGTTTTAAATAATTAGATGTGATCTTGGATAGTCAAATGTGATATTTTTACCTTATAGGTGGAAGTACCTCAAGTATCACTTTGCTCTAATGGTTTTATCACCTTTAGGAACATATAATTCCACATGGTAACCTATTAGTGCATCAGCTGTTATATAGTTATATCATATTGATTGGCTAAATGCACAAATATCATCATTAGGATCACTTGGAAAGTAAATGTGATATTGTTGGACTCATGTTTTCTATTTAGAGAAAATGATATGAAATCTCTAAACTGCATTCCCTCAGTTTGGATTTCCAAATAGGACTTCTAAATTTCTTCTTCTTTTCGTTTTCGTAAAATAATAATACAATTTTACTGATAGAGACAAAATATCATATTTCTTAAGTAATCAAGTCATGAATTTTATACTTAAAACCTAGTTCCTCCGATAAACAGGATGGCAAAGTTTCACTCCTTTTTTATGACGGTGGTGTCATGGTCAGCTTGTGCACACCTTGACTAATTCCAACGGTAGCTATTAGCTCCGACCAGCACAGGAACGAGGTAACTCTTCCCATTGAGACTTAGGCAGATGGGAAAAAATCACCAAGATTTTTGTGTCCATTGGGATTTTATTCTGCCACCTCATGATTCTCGCCCACTTCATTGTCCACTAGGCCACGCCCTTGGGTGTGATAGTGGAGTTTCACTTCTTTCAACTAATATCCACTTTACTTGGTGGGCTTTGCTTCTTTCCTCCCACCTTACCTTTTCTGGGGGGTGGGGTAGGGGTTATATATTCAAGACTGACCTTAAATCTTAGAGCATAAATCAAGCAACCAAATTATAAAAGCTTAGAGCAAAGAACAGCAATGAAGATACAAAAAGAAGAAGATCCGCAATGATCAGTTCACACATGATGAATATGCATAAGAGATGGCAAAATACTGAGCATAGGGATAGCAATAATTCACGGACCTGAAAATGGGGACTATTGATGCTTCGTCCAAGTTGCTTGAAAAGGGGAACCAAACAGCGCTGAAATTCAGCAGGCTGTGTACCTTCCAGAACTTCTTCCAGTTCATTAAGAAAGAGAACCTCCTTTCCACAATTAGTAATTGGCCAATATTTTAGTAGTCCCCTGATGACGATATCTGCCAATCGGTAATCTTTCTCAACAAACTGAGTAATGCAGTAGGACAGCTGATGGTGATATGCAGAAACACATTTAGGCTTGTGGAGTGGAATAAGTGCCCGAACAAGAAACAACTTGTGCTCTTCTTTCATTGGTAGAGCAAATCCATTTATTACACTTCCAAGAATCTCTAGCAATTCACCGATACCGTTATGCCTCTCCGTCTCAAATATAAACCTGTAGAATACATTGTTTATCCCGTTCCTTATAAATGGCCTATGAACCATGAATTTCCCATATATGCGGTGAAGGATAGTCTTCAAATACTCCCGCTCTCTAGGATCCTCTGAATCAAACAAGTCGAGCAGTTTCAGCACAAATGAGTGGTCAAGATATCGCTTGGCAACCTTGGTATCCATCTCAGTCGACATCACATACCTTAAAAGTAACTCATACACTAGTTGCAAATGAGGCCATGATGGATCCAGATACATGTCATCCTCTTCCTCAATACCTTCCGACCCAGTATTCTCGTGCGAAGCAGGAGGCAGGCACCGGAAAAGGTTGGTAGATATCATCCTAACCAACTCTTCTTGCATTATTTCATTCATTTTACACGAACCCGATTGAACTAAATCAATAAGCTCTGTGAGTGTTTGTCTCTTGATCTCCTTTTGTCTAGCACACTTCACCGTATCTGAGAAGTCAAATTGCACGCAGCAAATTTGGAGCTTCCGGATAAACAAAACATGACGTTCGGAAAGCGCAACCTCCTTCAATAAGGGCAAAACTTCAACCACACTAGGATCTGGTGTGGCATTTGCCAAAGTAACATGCTGTGACGCCACAGCAGACGTTGCTATTCGCGAAGCATGATCAACGGGCGCATTAGGCAATGAACTCGGTATCGGAGGCTCCACAGCATCCCCTTTGGAGCTTTTCTTCCCTCTTTTTATTATCTTAAACATAACTCTTAATCTATTAACACTTACAAAACAAAAACAACCAAATAGGGTTCTCCTAATTCACCATTATATCTCCTACAACCTCTTTCACAAGAACAATTATATCAAAACAAATCCCTAGCAAATCAATAAAAGAATCAATCTTTTTCACAAATTCCTCAAAATGGTATTCAAGGAATCTAATAAACTACAAGAATCTGAAATCCCAGATCAAAAAACAAAACTTTTTAACAATCCATGCCAGAAGAGAGCAAAATATCAAGAACCCATCTGCAGAAAAGTGAATATGAACCATACATGTAAAAATGCTGATAAAGAAACATATATTCAAAGTACAAATTGAGCAAGATTTGATTTTTTTATGAGAAAACAAACAGGGAAAGTGAAAAAAAAGTACCTGCAGAGAGATCCGAGAAGAAAGGGATGATGAAGAAGAAGAGAACATTTGTGCTTTTTTTGAGTGTGAAAGTGCTGGCATATTTTGAGGTTATAAAATATTTTAAATATTTTATATTTGGAAAAAAATAAAAAGAAATTTTAAAAAATATAAAAATATAGTATGTTTTCTTTTGCCTTAACTACTTCAAAATTTGAATCCAAAAACTTTTTTTTCCCCAATTGAGAAACTTTACAATATTATATGCTTGGATAGATTTTTTTAAACAAATGTAAGAACTTATAAAAAGAAAGTTTATGAAAATAATTCTTTTCCTAAAATGTAGTAAATTATTATGCTTCGTAAAAATATCTTTTTTCAGATAATTTCATTAAATATTGAGTAAGGATATACTATGACATGGATTATTTGTGATAAATTAATAGATGCATGATATTCATATGTTTTAACTTCAGCCGAGAGTATATCGAAAACAGTTTCTTTATCTCACAATCCACGTCTCAGACGCCGCTTGTAAATAAAATATGTTATTAGAATAAATGCATGATATATATTTGTAGATCAATTTTTCTTGATAAACTAGAATTAATTAAAAGTCCTTTGTATAGAATTTTTTTACAAACATATATCCTTATTAACATAGTAAAGTGTATAGATAGAATATCATAAAAGAATGGTGTTGAATTTTTGTCTTGCTTAAAAAATCTTTTAAAAAGTAGAGAATATTATTTGTAGATAATAAGAATATTTTTTATAAAGTGAAAGATAAAGTCTTAAATATTGAACAATAAACATTTTTTGTCAATACATTATAACTTATAATCAATTTAACACGATTAATAGATGAATTATACCAAATGTTACTCATCCATCATAACTCGTAAAAATATACAATGTTTACCTATACGACACACCTTGTAGACCGATAAATAAGTTTATAGATCCGACTTGTCGAAATGTCCAAGACTCCTACGTCCTAATTAGTGGTGTACATAGTCGGGTTGGTTTGGGTTTTTCAACTATCAAATCAAACCATTTGTGTTGGATTTTTAAATTTATAAACCAAACCAAACCAATAAAACTCGGGTTTTTTCGGATTTTTCGGTTTTTCAGGTTGTTTTGGGTTTTTCCGGTAAAATATTTCATACAAACATATAATTTACTTGTACTTCAAATATTTCTTTAGTCCTACCAAAATACAACTATCTAAGATGTTTCTTAAAAATATAACACAATATGATATGATTAATGACACTAAAATATCCAACAAAAATAATAACAATGAAATCGCGTAAAACAAATATTGCAAATTAACAAGTCATAATGAAAATGATCATAATTTAAAAGTACTAAATCATGCTAAAATTAAGTTTAATAAGTATTAGTTACATGACTAAATATTAAAGGAAATTAAAATTAGATTATGTATTTTAATTGTCTAAACCAATGTAAAACTAAAGAACAAATATTCAATATTATTGTCATTCTTAGTGTTGAATTGATTTTGATTTAAGCTTTATTATAATTACCAACATATGTGGACTATAATCTTTATTGACCCATTCATAATTTTAAGTTTCAAACTTGAAATAATATATTAAAAGATAAAAACTATGAAAAAGTATAAGAAATATTTAAAAATTATATCAAAGTAAATATTTTTATGTATAAAATAAAATTTTAAATTATATATATAATGTCGGGTTGGTTTTTTTAGTTAAAACCAAACCAACCCAAATATAGTCGTTTTTTTTTCAAAACCAAACCAAGTCAAACCAAACCACTAGTCGGGTTTTTTTTTCCAGGTTGACTCGATTTGCGGTTTGGTTTGATTTTCGGTTCGGTTCAGTTTTGTACACCCTTAATCCTAATAGAGCAATATTGGGCCCCTAGAATGGGGGGTCCAATGGGCCATATTGGGCTTTGCTGAACTTTATTTAGAAGAGTGGGCTGGGCCTAAATCTCTTCTTGGGCCTTGTTGTATGACATTTTAAGCAGATGAAATTTTAAAGTTAAATTATTGGACAAATTACTTAACTACACTCCTTTACTTACCTTAATATCCATTTATCTCTACTTATTTCAAAAATTTCAAAAATCTCGTATTTTACCTATGTATCCCGCATGTATCCCGATATGTGGAATTATCAAACGCTATGTATTCCGTGCACAACGCTATGTATCACGCTATGTGGAATGTATCAAACCTAATGTATTCCATGCACAACGCTATGTATCCCGCTATGTGGAATGTATCAAACCTAATGTATCCCGTGCACAACGCTATGTATCCCACAAACATCATTTTAAGGGATTTTTGGTAAATAGAAAGCTAGAAGGGATAGGATGTTATTTAGTACTTATAATATGTGGTTCCTATAATTTATACATTATTATTTGAGATTTAAAATATAATTTTCTTTTGGGAAACAAAAATAAAATGAAAAATGTAACATGTAAATCAAGAAAGAAAAAGTGATACATTCAGATATGATTTCTAACTTTATTTTTACATTCTGATGTGATATTTTGTTAACTTTACGTTTTTATTGATAGCCGTAAAATTATCATTAAAAAATTCAACTACTTGTATGCATTTTTTCCTTATATCAATGCAAAAACATTTTAATATTATTACAACTAGATCTAGATCTCCTCAATACACAAAACAATTTATCCTCGTACCAATTAAACAACTAAAATATTTGAGACAATTAACATGGCTAACAACTGGTTTTACAGAGATTAATTAAGAGTTAAGATACTCCTTAATTAAGTCAAACAAATCACAGTTACCCAAAAATAAAAGGTAAAAATAAATACATTAAAATAATCAAGAGTTCTAGTTTAATTAAAAGATTAACACTTGTTTACACTTTACACTATCAATATAATTTAAACTTTTATATCAGGTTATTATTTTATATTTTGAGGTTATCACATCAATTGACTTACTATAAAGAGTTAAAAATATTATTAGAAGTTTAATTTAATATACTCATGTAACTAATCTAAAATACTTTCATTCCAAAGAACTTGAACTTTTAATCGGATTGATTAGAGAAATTTGATTTATTTTTTTCTACTTAAATTTCAAATCTTTTATTATAGATAAAGGTGATTGATTACAACGAAATAACACACCAACACGCATACACACACAATGTCGGAATCACTCTTGTCCAAGGAATTTCAATTTACATCCTTCGCTAAAAAAATTATGCTATATAGATTGAATTTTTTCGTGTGTCTACTTCTTTACAGTGATTTTCCTTACTAAAATTTTTGATTTCACTACTACGCACACACATATATACTGCTAATGAACTTCAAACTAATTATATTTAACTAATATACACACCGATAATATAAACAAAAAATTACACTAAGAAATGTTAAACATTGCAATTAACAAGTGGAAGAAAATTTGATACTTGAAAACTAGAGATGTGATTAGATATCAATTACATATATAATCATTAATATTACATTACATTACAAATTAATAATAATTCCTTAACAGAACTATTATTATTTCTTAAGTAGCCCTCCATAATTTGCAGCCATAGCCATTTCTTTTTCAGCCACTTTTGCTTCCTCTCTAAATTTCTTGTAAATATCATTCTTATAAAACTTCCTAGTTCTTAATACCAAAATAATTGACACAAATGCCCCTAGAATTGTCACACCAGTAATAATTAAAAAGGCTAATTTGAAACATTCATCTCCATTACACTCCAAATCTTCACCAATTTTCCTTATTTTTCCCATAGCCATTATTTGTCTATTAGCCTCTTTATCATATAAATAGCCAACAACTCTCACATTTAGCAAATATGCACCAATTGGACTTGCTACTGATCCAAAATTATAAAGTGTTGAGTAATATTTCAACCCAAATAACTCTGATATTATGGCATATAACAATGGCCATTGTGCCCCAAAGCAAAATCCAATGACTATAGATGCAACATATAGGCCCCCAGACACGTTGAACGCGATTAAAAGATGGCCTAAACAAGAGATCACGAGTGTTATCGTGAGCATAAGAGGCCTTGGAAATTTGTACTTGGTCAAGAAATGCTCAGACAAGAAGCCAGACACAACTCTACCTAAGTAATTCCATATACTAACTAATGACACAAATGTACTAATACTTGTTTTTGGATAGCCTAATGATGTCCCTATCTGTCCTAAGTTGTCTATTGCTGTTAGTGTCCCTCCAACGCCACATATTGTCGCGAAAAATAGTATCAACATGTCAATACTGAATAGAGTTTGAAGTATAGTATAGTCTTCACCTCTATCTGGTGCGCGAAAAACTGTCCTCCAACAAGAAATATGTTCTTGAGTTTGAATCTCACTTCGATTTTCTTGATCTTTTGCATCACTTTGTGTCACCATTTGAAGTTGAGATATCTCACAATTTGGCACCTCAGTGACTAATTTCACTTGTGATACACTTTCCAATTCTTGTTTCTTGATTTTCCATGAATCAAATTCTTCTTTAACAACAACAAGAAGTGGTAAACAGAGCAAAAACAGAACAATTGAAGTGCTTAAACCATATTCAATTTGCTTAAAATGCATCTTTTTTTGAAGTATAATAACCAACATGAGAAATCCAGCTAGTCCAAGTGATGTATACAAAAACTTATAAAACACTTTCATCTCATGTTCAACTCTAACCACCTTCATAACGCGAATTATACGCAAGAAAACCAATGAAACAACAGGAGGAAGCCAACCAATAAGTAGAATAAGAGACTTAGAGTCATTACCATATATGGCATGGTAAATTTGTGTCAACATTGCACCACTTAATCCAACATACCCCTTAAGTAGTCCAAGAACCGCGCCACGACTCTCAGGGAAGTTTTTAACACAAGTAACTAATGCACCAGTGTTAGCAAAAGATTGAGAATTTGAACCAACACAAATGTACAAACACATGTGCCAATTTTTTGGTTTTGGGATTTTTTTA